TAAACTTGAAATTAAATGTGTACGTTTAAGGGAAGGGGTGATTGAGAACCTGCGACATTTGCCCCACGTACCAAGCGTACAGATGCAGCCGATCGGTGATGAGAGCTACGCGTCGAGATTGCTGAAGGAGGAAGAGGAAGCTCGAGATAACGCTGATCCGGATGTTCGATTTGACAGTAAGAATCGCTTATTATTTCATGCTTCCTCTTGTTATTTATTCAGAGAAAGCTAGTGCCAATATCGTCAGAACGTCGTTGATGTGAAGCTGTTGATATTACTGAGGTTCGTCCATAATCAAAAGCAGATCTGCCGACTTTATCCTGTTATGAACTACATTATCCTCTAGCATAGGCAGATCCAGGGTGGCCTTTTGGGGGGAGGGGAGGGGATTTTTCTTCCTTCTCCCTCCCTTCATCACTACACCCCTCCTCCCGCCCCTCGGCCAGTTCGCTACCAACCGTTCGATTGTCCCGCTACCTCTCTGTACCTCCCCCCTCTCCCTACTAGTCGACTGTAAATTACGGCGATGACCGAGCGGGAGGTAGGGGGGGAGGATGGGATGGGGGAGCAGGGCATCGAACAAAGTTTCCTACAGTAAAACAGCTGCTACCCGAGCTCCTGGAAAGGGGGGGGGGGAGCGAAAGACCCTACCCCCTCCTCTCCCTTGGATCCGTTAGTGACCTCCGGTCTTATTAACGTGTACTGTCTGTTTATAACTGTTCACTGGGAAATTTCAGGTACGGTAGAGGATGCAGCTGTCGAGGACAGAGGCGAATTTTATGATGGCGGAAAAGAAGGTGAACTGAGAAACGAACACTGTGCAAAACGTGTGAGGTCAGATTCGGAAAGCGCTGAACCCGAGGCACAGAAAAAACCAAAAGTGGAGGTAACTTTTTATGCGTTTTTTGCGTCTATGCAATGCAAAAACGCATATTGTCGAGGGGTCGTCTGTGTGTGTTTGTGGGTGTATGTATGTGCGTGTGTGTCTGTGTGTGCGTCTGTACCAGTTTTCATCTCGAGATCCACAAAAGCTACAGGGCTGAGAATTTGGTAACCTAATCTGTACGTACGTGATAATAAGAATTCTGTGGTTTAGAAAAA